TTATACTGTTTTTTCTCTTTTTTTCTCTATCCACTTTGCTGCTGTAACATTGGAATTTCCCCATTGTGGGACTATTAAAGGAATATCTTATCTTATATGTTGGACAACTAGCATAAATTACATTAATAATCAAGGTTTCAGCAGCTGCTTGGCCTGATCTGGACAATATAGTAGTGGTTCTGGGGGTTATTGAGGATGTTGAATCTATTTCTGACATTTTCAAAATACAAAATGGCCGTTTGAACCAGAAGTGGTCATATTTCAACTCCCGGTGGGCTGAAACTGTAACCATCAAACAGTTGAAGGATTGAATATTGTAGTATGTATCTTTGTATCCTCAAATAGAGCTGGTGTGATGCAAGAAAAATATCTGACAATAAAGTATCATTATAAGCCACCTATGTTTATTTTAGAGGTTCGTAGGTAGACTTAAGTTCAATATTTCAATTTTTTTTACAAGATGCAAATATTCGTTCCCTCCTCACATCCTGCCTCCACGTCTTTGACTAACAACATCTATTTGTACATCATGATTGAATGTTTTTCCTGTTAATGACCATTTTAAACACAGTGTGAGGAGTTTGCTTCCAAAATGCCACAACCAATGAACTCTTAAACAGCACCATTATTATCTATCAGTTCGTAGAGTCGGTGAGATGTTTACTTTCCCATTTTGGATCCAAACTCTCCACATTCAGCTGCTGTTTTCCTCCCAGTCAGACAGCACCACAGTACCATGCATCAGGGCAGGAAACGTCCCCATTAGTGCCCATTAACTTCACATTACAGACGACAGCAGAACAGTCAGAGCATATTTACATACACAACACTCACATTTTGTTGTACCTCTGAACGTTTTACAGTCCGACTTAAGAAACCCACAGAGGTCTGAGTTACTGTATGTATGTGAGCTTTAACGTATCACTCACTTAGACGTCATTAGAACTGTGAACCACGTGAGCTTCGTCACTAATGTAAAGCAGTTCGTTCTTACTCCAGCCAACAAAATTATGATTGTCAGCAGTTGATGAGCACAACACTGGACCAAATGGATCAATGAACAACAAATGTAATTCGCAGTTCTGGAACCAGACCGGACAACAAGTTCTCACTCCCCACCTTGTCACATACTGCCGCTTCGTATCCCTCTCCTGTTGTTTCTGGACGCGCAGGGAACTGCGGTCAAGTTAGCAACAATAAATATGTAATGTCTGCAACTTCTGGTTATAATTTCAATATAAAGGTTACATGGTTAATGTAATGTAATGTAAACAGTCGCAGTTTGGTTATGTTCAGGCACAAAAATCACTTGGTTACGATTAGGGATAAAGTTACGTAACTTAATTACATGAATAAATGTAACTTAGAAGAAATTGTTTACTTTAAGTTACGAACAGCAGGGTTAAAGTCCTGTGTTTGATTGAGCCATCCATCCACCTCCTTATACTCCATCACCTGACTGTGATGGTGGGCGTGTCCAGAAATGACACCAGATACCTAAAACATCATATTTTAAAGTGGAGAGGCCATCGACTGAGCTGCAGTATCTGGCGACTTGGGAGTGGTAGGACTGGAGCCACACTGGGTCGGCCTGGACGTTTGTGCATTTGTACTCATTCAAAAGAGGCTGAAGCTGTTGATAAACATGTTTTTTCTCATATTGTGTCAATGGCTGATCACCACAGTACATCCCAATCAGACTTTTCATTCAGAAAACACTGCCTCAAATACCCAGGAAGAGATATTTCATTTTACATTATAAACGCTAATAAACCGACATGCTTGTACAAAAAATAAGTATACGCAACATCTTCATAAAATAAATTGAATACTTCACCTCGTTAGGATGTTGCCAGGCAACACGTACTGCTGCTTTTTGGAAATGTTAGTGAGGAGAGACTCTTCAGATGGGATGAGTCATTTTCAGAAACATCAGTGTGTCTCCTGCTGAACAGCAACATTAGTGTTCATTTCTTATGTTGTTTGGAGCCATTAAACAACATTAACTGCAGTTCTGATCATTTTCACGTAACTTCAGTTTAGAAATCACATGTTGCTGAGTGGATGAAGACATTTCTGCCATCGATTGATTTTATAAATTACTTTAAAAGCACATTAGGTAAACTTAGGTGTTTTGTTTTTGAAAATGGGCCTTTTTTTAACCCTTCCTAAGTCCCGCCCCTTTTTGCTCTGTGCTCCTATTGAAGTAGATTAACTGCTTAGCTAGCATTTTGCTAACATCAGTAGGATGTTTCTATGTATATAGTTATATATATATATATATAACTACATATGTCGCTTTTATCTTTTAACCTTTTGAAAATGTGGATATCTTTTCAACTTGGATTAGCCTAGCACATAGCATAGTACAGGAAAGAAGAACGAGGATTCACATCTTAAGTTAGCTGATGTTAGCAAAATGCTATCTAACTAGCCAACTAATCTAAATGAATCATTAGTTATATCTGACAGCTAATGTTAACAAACGCTTGCTAATTAGCTAATAATTGATGTAGATTAACTAGATAGTTGGCTCGTGTTTTGCTAACATTAGCTAACTTAAAATGTGACTATATATATATCCTGCGTCTGACGGGGACACTGATGTGATGAAACTGACACATCCTGTCTGAAAGGGCTGTACCCTGAATCACTGGACGATACAGTTAGTGACAAAAAGACAAAATCAACAGTCACATCACATCATGACACCACCTGTGGTTCATAAAGTGCATAAAACAAACAATAGAAAAAAACAGGCATCTGGTAAAAATGTTTTATATATTGTATAAATAAAGTTTTTTTGTGCATGCAGTTATTGACGCTCAACTGATCAGATGAGCGCTCTTCATCTTCTGTAGTTATTTGTCTCCACTTCCTTCATCATCCTCTTTGTCCTCATCCGTCTGCAGACTCGTCAGGTTTCAGGATCTGGTACGTGATCAGATACTCTGGATAGGCCTGTGGGCAGCAGAGAGGCGTTCACTGACAGACAGACACTCGAGGCCACGACTAGTTACCATAACTCTGCTGACTTGGTTCGGACTTTAGACGCTGTAGAAGCACCGGACTGCAATCTTTACCTTGATCCCACACTGACAGCTCCCCCAAAGACACACACACAGCCTCTAGCTTAGCTACAACACAGGTATCACAAAGAAACCTTTATAAACGACTGTGAATGTGCTTCTAGTGACTGTAAAAGCTCCAGTAATTACACTTTAATAATAAAAAACAATTAATACATTTAAAAACAACATGTTGAGTACAAAAAGGGATTAAACATATTTCCCAGTAGGTTTAACTTTTGCTTTCAGCCTGTGATTTTGTATCAGAGTGATTTTGTATCAGATCTAATCAAATTGTGACTCACTGTCACTCTCATTGTCTCACATTATCTTACAGAGTCACTGTTTTAAACAGCAGAAAAATACATCAGATTGAAAATGTGATAATATGAGAAGGTTCAGTGATGAGCAGCTCTGCTTTAATGCTCCCAGTTCCTCTTCATCTCCTCGGTCCCGCTGCTATCAGCCTTACAGCCGACCACCACATGTAATTTCACACACTAATAGCACCGTTGATTGCTTGAGTGGACATCTATTCATGCTCAATTTCTGAAGTGCCACTTCTGAACAGCTATTGGTTTTGCCAGAAGACATTATGTGTCCAATCGTCTGTGCTCCCCACTTATACAGCGACTATCTGCCATCCTCTCTTTTATGTCGGAGACCACTCTGCCCTTCAAAGCTAACCTGACCGCGCTACAGGAAGCAAAGGTCGGGTCGCAGAGTGCCAATCAACATAAATTACACCACAATATCTTTTAATTTTAGTATCAGAGTTCAGAAGATTAATAACACAAATAAATGAGAAAAAACAACCGATAAATTAAAACATTTAAAACAACAAATGGCACGTAAGCACAATAGACATGTATAAAATGTATTCAACCTGCTCTCCTCTGTAGATGACGTACTCGGCCAGAGCGAGGCCATTAACACTCGGTCTGCCGGTAACAGAGTGGTGACCCGGCGGGGAGTGAGCCATCTTCATGGCACTGAACTGCAAGAAGGACTTCCCCAGAGTCACCCTGCAGAACAACAGGTGCCTGAGAGGAACAAAAAACACCAAAAGTAAAACGGTAGCATAGAGACAGAACAGCGCAAAAACATTACACAACATAACGTATTCATAACACAAGATGTCGGTTTGCTGGACTGTTAGCTGGACAGGAATGCGTTAGGTGTTCAGTCAGTTTGGATATTCGAGTACCTGTGGCAGACGTAGCAGGAGCGGTCTTTGTGCAGTGGGCAGCCGGTCCCTCCTCCGATCCCGTAAACGTACTGATTGCTCTTCGACGAGTTCTCGGCGAAGTAGATCCCAGCACCGAACATCCCACCGATGTAGGCGTGGCGCTCGTCAAAACCTTTATGGATGATGGCGTTGACGAATGGAGAGCCTGGGAGGAGATAAGTGCTATACTATAAGTGCTGTTCCAGCTGCTACTACTTCATTTACTGCTACATTCGTCTATACTTCAACTGCTACATGTGACCACTACAAGCAGTACTATAAAAACAATCAGTACTACTGCTACTTCTGGTAGGACTGTTCATATTCTGACCGTGGAAGAGCATGCGTTCATTGGAGTGGTTGTGGTTTTCCTCTGAAACTTCCTTCCTGCGGTGGGTGTACCGCTCCCACAGCTTCTTGTTACAGACCTTCTGGATCTGAAACACAAGAGGTCGGACAGAGGTCAGATAGAGGTCAGATAGGGGTCAGATAGAGGTCAGACAGAGGTCAGATAGAGGTGAGGATAGTGACCAGGACTTGACAGCAGTAACAGAGGATTACTAACGGGTTTCTTTCTGCCACTTTGATCCAGAACTAAATACGTCAACAACTACTGGATCGTTACCTTGACCAGCGAGTATCTGTTGAAGACTCCTCCAGCATGGCCGCCGTCTCTGTGCTCTCTGATCGTACTCTGCATCTGTTCAACACAAACAAGGTTTTCATTGGTTGAATCTGAAGGTCAAGTGAAAAACCACAAGAACGCATAACGACCCCTCCAAGATGGTATCAACTCATTTTAGTTCTGCTACTATTTGAACCCAACAACTAACTAGTTATTCTGCATCAGTCGTTTAGTAGATAATTAGCTAGTGTTTTGTTAACACATACTCACTGTCCGGCTCCCTCAGTTTCACATTCTTATCCTGAACACACAGGATTATTATCTTTCGCTTATTGGGGACGTAAAGAATACCATCAATCAACTAGATTTTTTTCATTGCTTGCACGAGGCACTTTTACAGTTTCAATGAAAAGGAGGCCGCAGTCGCTCTCATCTAACAACACATCTTTAACCACGTACCTCCTCCTCTACTGACTGGAACTCTTTGTCATCGGCTGCGAGGTCGATCAATATCGTCCCACTGTTGGCTGTATTCAGCGTCAGATAGGGGTTCAGACCTGGCACACACACACAGATCAAGATTATAAATCATATTGTTTCTCAAATCTTTTCTTGCATTTGATGCAAATGCGATGTGATTAATATGTAGTGTTTAAGTGTGTGTGTGTGTGTGCGCGTCCTCACTCTGCGGCCCGTTGATGAGCCTCTCCACTCCTTTAATGATCTTGTGTCTGTGTCCGTAGGCGTTGATGCCGATCTCCTTCAGCTCGCGGTGACCCATCTCCACCAGCACATCCACAGTGATCTGCACAAACACACACACACACACACACACACACACACTGTTTACAGACTGCTCTGCTGCCCCCAAGTGGCCAGAATATGAATAATGTCAGCTTTAACATCTGGACACAAACATCAGTGAATCTGAATCACCAGCAGTAGATGATTTACTCTGCGTTGACTAAAGCTCTGCAGTATCTTTGCAGCAGTTTGCAAACTGCTGTTATATGCAGTCATTTTCCTACATTTACAACCTTTTTCCTTCAGGGAGAATTCAACAAATACAGAACAGCTGGTACACTGTACAATGAACACGAACAGTGAACACAATAACTGCAGGAATGTCTGTCCAAAATGAACAATTTGGAGAGTTTTTCTGATAGTTTTAGGAACAATCTTCCAGCTGTTTTCTTCTCCCCGATACTTGATGCCTCTGTTCTCAAAACCAACATTTGTTATTCATATTCATATTGTGAGTAAATGTTGCGTGTTGATGAGCTCACCTGCTCTCTGTCAAAGATCTCCAGAAGATGCTCCAGTCTGAGGTTCTTCAGGAACTGACAAATACTGTGCTCAACTCCTGGAACTACAATAACAATAAATGAGATTAGCTACGAGTCAGAGGTGGAAGTAGCTAATTACAATTACTCATGTTACTGTTATCAAGTCATTTTTTGTGTACTTTTGTGTACATAATAGTTGGCCAAGTTTTCAGGTTGTTCTTTTACAACTTGTGCATTTTTTAACTTTCATTTTAATGGTGGTATGTGGTGTCTATGTGGGGTCTGTATCTGCATGGAATCTGAAAATCACATATTAAGTCTTAATTTCTAACTTTCTCACCTTCCTCTTTCTTCTCGACCATCGACAGCAGTGCCGACATCTCAGGAAACACAGAGGATGATGAAGATGGCGGAGGTGGTGACAAATTTGATGCACTAGATGCAGCGGTGGCGTTACTGTTGGTCGTAGCCGCTGTTGTGGCGTCAAGACTAGAGGAGGAAGAGGAAGAGGGGGAGGAGAGGAGTGGTGGGACCACGGCGACAGGTGGAGCAACGGAAGTTGACTCTGCCACGCTGATGACCTGAGGTTTGTAACAGCCGGGGAGAGCAGAGGGAGGCATGGCTGCAGTTAGCAAAGCCCGAACATCATCAACCTGCAGGAGGAGGAAGAGGAGAAGGTGAAGAAGAGAAAGGAAAGACAGCATGATAAGTAATAATTTCGGACTGTCCTTTGAAATCAGCGTGGGACGGACCGTGACCAGGTCCAGCGGCGACTGTCCCTCCTGGTTTCGGAGGGTGGGGTCCGCTCCGTGAGCCAGAAGGAGGGCGCACAGCTGAGTCCGGCCCTTCTGAGAGGCCTCGTGCAGCGGAGTGAACGCCCACTTATCGGTGGCGTTGACACAGGCGTCAAACTTTATGAGCAAAGCAGCTACGTCTACGTGCTGGAAGATCAAAACGAGACAATGACTCCATGTATCAGTTCCATATTAAAGTTATTAAAGTCAGTAACAGATACTAACCTATGTATTCTAAAAAACTGTGTTGATTTTATTTAACAATAAATGATGTAGCAGCGCAAAGCTAACAATAGCTTTCTACTAGCCAAGAGCGATGTGAGGCAGGGGCATCCAGCTAGTTAACTGTAGCTAAGCTAAGCCGGTCCATCTGGCTGTGTCTTGACTGCACATTGTGGGTCTGGTGTTGGCTGATGGGTGATTTG